AAATGCATCCCTCTAACCCACAAACGGAGGCATTTGCCAGACCCTCGACTAATGTCCCTTTAATTATATTTTTTTAATTATGAATATCCTTAAATTCACTTTAAAGAAATTTCTATTTAAATTTAATATACATATTTCAAAATTAAAAAATAATAATAATGATAAAAATTAGTAGGAGTAAAAGAAAAAAAATAAAAATTAATATAAAATGTAATTTCACTCATGCATTTCCCCCTGATCACTTAATTTTCTATACGTTAAATCACTAATTTGAGAGCATAATTTTATATAAGTTTTTTTTTTTTAATTTTAAGCTTCAACAATAAAAAAAATTGAAGAGCAACAAAATTAAACCACGTAAATAAAATTAATTTTTTCTCTAAAAATTGATACAAATTGAAATAATCTGCCAGTATTATTTTTCATTTATAATATAAAGGATATTAGATCAGTATTTCTCTGTTATTCAAAACAAATTTTCAAAATGCTACTGTAATATGGTTTTTCTTAGCAAGCCACAACAATGGAGTCAAAAGGGGTATCAAATGAAGACCTACTGCTCTACAGGAACAAACAATCTGGCATTCAAGGACTTCACATCTGCTTCACAGTAGCAAAACAAACTTTCAAGAAGTTTTGCAGCACTGATGAATACAAATCAGGGAAAGTTCTATAATGATCCACATGCGGGGATGATTCAAACTTGAAGGAAAATACTTTTCTCCCCAGCTTTCTCTGCTCACTAATAAGATGTTCTATTGATTGGAATGGAACCACCTTGTCTGCTGTGCTATAAAGATACAATTGAGGACATGGAGGCTGATTGTTGTACAGCGTGTAGACAACTTTCTTTAACCTCCTGCAGAAACAGTCATGAAACCGTCACCTATCAAGTTTGATGATTGAGATTCATACTGATGATCATGGAAACTGGAAATTGAAGCAATTCAAGTGAAATAATTGATTCTGACCAATTATCTTCCCCCACAAGCCCATAGACTTGCCGCAAACAAGGACGCATCTTACCTTTTAGGAACATTAATTAACAGAGATGGAACAATAGCCAAGGTTTAATACTAGATATAGATATCTAATTTTGATATGATATCATGTAAAATATTTAACTATAAACAGTTTTTCAAAAAATAAAATAATAAGAAAGAACTGAACCCATTATTTATCTCAGGAGTAAAATTAGATTAGACCTACTATTTATAGATTACTAGGCCATAGATGTAAAACTTACTCATCTACATCAGGCAACTTTAGAATAAAGGAAAAGAACTTCTCCAGTAATGCTAACAGCAGGGTTTCAGTCATGAGAGGTTCCTTTTCTTGCGTTGTTGATAGGCTCGCTTCATTTTTTGCTCCATTCATTTCAGTGTTTTCCGAAGAGTTGCGTTTCTTCAGGATAGCAGCAGAAAATCCAGCTGCCCAAACCTACAAGGTGAAAAAGAGTTTATCACATTGCGTACTACCATAATTGTTATGGAAATCTTACATATCAATGAAAACGGTATGAGAAACTGCCTCCTCTTCCCCTTCATATTATGCAAATGAGGATGCAGAAATTTCACAAGGTTTGCCTTCTAATTACGGCACACATATATAATCCAGCTCAATTTAGAGAGCATGGAAGAAGAGAGGAAAGAGTCCAGTCAAATATGTATACCATGCATGATTCATGTAACAAAGACAAGTTTTAATCTGTGGATGCACACATAAGTTGCAAAGTATAAGCTCGTGTAGTGGGATTCCTTCTACAAGGCAAACGCTCCAACTGCAGAGCCTTGAGTGCTTGACCCAGGACCTTTCCAAGGCCTGTGAACAAAAAAAATCTTCACCTATCTCAGTCCAGATTTATCAGATAACTTGGAATGAAGACTCCCAAGAGAGACTGGAGCCAAAGGAAGTAATTTAGCTGAAAAAATGGTATATGGTCCTTGACTCAAGTCTTAACTAGTTTCATCTCCTCAGATGGTTCTAGATCATCACAATTGAATTTAAGGTAGAGTTTTTCAGCTTGAGCCTTGACATCTCTCACCTATCAGGTGGTTGCTAACTGTAATGGTTAGATTTAAGTGAATAGAGTGACAATGAGCCCGCAAAACGCGTCGCTTGAACAGTCATAATTCTACCTTAAGCATTTCCTACTTCTCCATACTAGGATCGAGGCCAAAGATTGTAAAGAGCAAAGTAAAAGAAAGAAAGCAATACGAACATCACCGAACCGCATTAAAATCCTAGCCTAAGCACATCAATCACATTGTAATGCTCGCAAAATCACATTAACTTTTTGCTGATGGTTTGCATAATGTTCAGTTTTATGACTCACTTCCTTCTATTCCATGACTTGAAAATGTTACTTGTAATTTAAACGTACTATGATAACTGGATTGTTCTTAAGGTTGCCAGTGGTTCCCAAGCACAATCCAATTTGGATAAAGCATAATCAGATCAAGCAAAATTTGCATAAATCCTAAGTTATCAAACAATTGAAATTCACAGAATATATATAACATGTATATATAACCTGAGGATTGAATGGCTCTCCTCCTCCTGAATCCACGATACAGCCCTTAATCTTCTCCGTCAACTCCTTCCTTCCCTCAAAGATATTGAGAAGGGAACCATAACTGCACCAAAAAAAAAAAAAAAAAAAAACCCAAAATAAAGCTAGTAATAGTAGAACTACATTCTGATTCTGCACCAGGGAAAATCATATTATCTACAATAGATAGAAGAGGAAAAACAAAAACGAAAACGAAGAACCAATTAATCAACCTACGCAAACCAACCCGTGTTGCTGAAAGTATGGAAAATCAGACACCGTTCTCTAAGATCTTCCTCCTTCGATAATACCCACGAAGCCAGCTCGTTGCCCAACTCAGCCAATCGCTTCTCAAGCTTGTGACCCAAATCTAATGATAGCAGCAATTCTCCCACTTCAACCACGAAGGTAACGGCGTTAATACCCCTGGAGTTGTACCATTCAACATATCTTCTCAGGTGCTTCGTTTTGGCTCCCAGCCAACCCAAGAGAACCACTGTCACCTCTCGCTTTTTGTCGCCAAAGCCCTCGATGTTTCCTCCATTGATAACGCTCCGCGGAGCTCGGTTCCAGACAAAACCGCCCTCGTCTGGGTTGGACCGAAATGGGGTGCGGTGGTTGGTGGAGTTGAAAGACGACGAAGAGGAGAGAGAGGAGAAGGGGTTTGGAAATGGAGAAATAAGGGATCCCAAGATTGGTGAAGGCGAGCAACAGTGGACGCGAGGGGAAGAGAGATAGGCCCTGGAGACGACGTCGTTTATGGATCGACGGAGCGATGTGGGTAATCTGGGAGACTGGACTATAGCTTCTGTAGTTGTTTTGGAGAGGAGATGGCGATTTAGAGTAGGACTGAAAATCCTCGAGGATGCTGCCATGGCCGAAAGTGCGCTTTGAGGCATTTGATTCAACTGAATTTATGAAATTTAATCTCCATTTTCAAGCGTCTTCGATAATATTCATATGTAGTTGTTTGGATTTAGCAATCAACAAACAGCCTCCTCCCAAAAACAAAAAAAAAAAAAAAAAAAAAAATGAAAACAACTAACGAACGGTCAGCTTATAGTGAGAGCCAATTAATTTGGTTATTATATAATTTATAGCCAAAATTAAACATTTTTTCCGTATTAAAATATTTCAATTGGTTTTTATGTTTTAGTTAATTCCAATTATTTTTTATTTTTAAAATTAATGAGAAAAAATTAATTATTGTCCAATTAAGCATGTTGATTTTAAAGTATTAAATATGTTTATAACATAATAAATTATTATTTAATAATTAATAAAAATAAGTAAATATTTCTTAATTAGTTGATTGCTCACTTAATAAGGGGGTTAAAATTCAACGCAAAGTCTTCGAACATCCCCATTTGATAACTAAGTTGTAATACTCATTTGATGATGTTGATTTTGATTAAATTTTGAGTAAGTAATAGTGAAGCTTCCGCGTTACCATTTATTAACTTTAACATAAGATAAACAATTAATTTTATTTTTTATTAATTATATAAATTAGTTAAAAATTAAATATTTCGATAAAGAATTAAATTTGGTTATATAAAATTTAGTTTTGTTTAAAAAGTTTAATCAATTAAAATATTAAACACAATCAAATACTAAAATGTTAAGGTTATATATGTTTGATTTTATGAAATTATTTTAACTACAAAATAAAAATTATATAATCAAACCATTCCATTCAAAAACGGATAAAAAGAATAATCATCTTAACTTATGTTGTCAAATTAAATTAATATTATTGACAGACCAATTAAATTAATTTATATTACGTTAAAATCAAAGAAAATTATAAATATTTTATTATTGACAAATATTGATAAAAATGCACGTTTAGTTATAAATTATATATATAATTTAATTTGTTCAAAATGTGTTAAAAAATAATTTATATTTTTTACGTCGAAACGGCGACGTACTAGTTTGAACATGTCCCGGTAATTTCTGGTATAACGACAGTCCGCAGTGCTGCAGTAACCAGTTTTGCCGGGAAAAGGAGGGGAAATTTTTAACATCATGGCCATGGCCGGATGGCCACTACTTTGCCACAACTCCTATTCGTATACCAGCCAAAAATAATGGACATAAAACGAAACAAACCTCCGTTGTCTCTTCTTACTTTCTTCCTCGCGCTCTATATATATATATCTCTCTCTCTCTTTCATTTCTCCAACTTGAAAGGGTTTTTAGGGTTCTGATTCTGAAGTCTTGATGTCTGCTTCATGTGCTGTGTCACCATCTATTAGGGCAGAGCTTATTAACCCGACCTCTAGCAGGTTCATTGCTCCGTCAAGACTCTATCGAAACAGTAAGCTTTTTAAAGCACTGTTCCTCTGGGAAATTGGCTGATATTCTTTCTGAAATCAACATTTTAAGCTTAATTGCGTTTATTTTTTCCTGACGTTTGTTGATTGGTATTTGCTTGAAGGAGGCAAATGTGAAATAAACAGAAGGGGTTTTGCTTTGAAAGGGATTGTTGCTTCGGGAGTTTCGGTTATGGGTTCTTCTCTGCTTAGTGAAACAGTTCAAGGTCAGTTTAAATATCCAGCTAGCTCTTTTTATTTCTCAAAAATGTCTTCATCTTTTACTTGATGTAGAATTCCAAAGGATAAGAATCAGTGAGGTGGTGCATGGTTATTACGATTGATCCTGATTGCCTTAGCTGATACTATAATCGCTTTGATTAAATGATATTTGCACGAATCTTGTGATTAAGGTACTAATCACACACTAATACATATATATATATATATATGTGTATTAACTATTGGTTGTTCTTCTAGTTATGAAGTATGGGGAATTTCCTTTCTTGTCCTTCTTGGTTCCCAAGAATGGCGTATAGCATACCTTAGATTTCATTAGTTCTGTTCTGTCGTAATGGTCATTATGTTTGTCAATTGCGTACTTGATGGAATATTGTTAAGTTAAATTCCAATGTAGGGCTGGAGAGGTTACCATTCAAGCCCGAGGGATACAATTTTTGGACGTGGATGGGTCATAAAATTCATTATGTAGTGCAAGGGGAAGGATTTCCAATTGTTCTTGTTCATGGCTTTGGTGCTTCCGCTTTTCATTGGAGGTTTGTCATTTTCTGCCTTTCTTCCGGTTTTTGAAAGGTGAATACTTGGGTCTTGCGACTCTGCTTACCTTAGTACTTCAGATCGTCTGAGCACCATAATGGAGTGTTATAATCTTTGGCTTATTCTATGTTAATTTGACATGTAAAACATGTTCATCTTTTAAATTTCAAGACAATTTGGCAAATTATGCAATTTTTACCATGTGCATTGTTCTTTCTTTATTGTGGAATATGTTTTCAAATTAACCATGTTACATAAATGTAAGCTAATACACTCAATTCTGTTTTACACTCTTGCTTATTGGTTAGACCATAAGATGACTAATCTTGGATGCATAATCAAGTTCTTTCTCCTGTCATATTTGCAGGTATAATATACCTGAGTTGGCCAAGCACTACAAGGTTTATGCTATAGACTTGCTAGGGTTTGGGTGGAGTGACAAAGCGCTAATAGAGTATGATGCTATGGTGTGGAGGGATCAACTAGCGGATTTCTTGAAGGAGATTGTGAAAGAGCCAGCTGTTTTAGTTGGAAACAGGTAATTTCCGAGGCTTCATACCTTGTATTTCTTTTGTTTATGTCAGACTGTATATATGTGGAATATTTAAGTCTCTTGAATTCTGGTAATCCCAAAATTATCATTACCTTGCTTTCAAGATCCAAGAAAAATTTCAGGATTCATCCAAGTAATGACTAGCTGATTAGTTCCATTTTTTTTTTAAGTTTCATGGCTATATAGTCATATCTTCAACTTCTCTTAAGTAAGGCTGCCGAGTGCTGTATTTCCAGTTTGATTTCCGTTTGCTTGTTGTTTAGCTCCGTTAAATAACTTATAGCACCAGCACCAGTAGGGTTAAACGGTTCCTTAATTAGAAAATGTTTCTTTGTCTCTCTGATTGCATCCATATTATGGTTTCATCAATTCACTTATGGTAAATAATAGCTTTTCTTTTGTTTTTAAGTAATCATTCTCTTGAGTGATTGCCCGGTCTTAGAGGCTATTAGTTTCTCTTATGACATGACTCTTTTGGAATTTATCATTCTTGATGCTCTGCATGTCTTTTTTGTTGTTTTTCCTTTTAATTTTAA